AACCGGATCTTTTCATTTTGAGTCAGTGTGACATTAATTTCTACTTGCTGGAACTGCTACCATGCCTAGTTCAGGAAACTCATATGTTCCTTCTTTACGGCAGCAGCTTCCCAACAGATGGACTCATTATAAAAATCTCCGGCTATATCACATTAGTTCACTTGCTGACCAGTCGTGCCATAGCCAGGAGGATGCAGCTCAGCTCTTGGAGGAAGAAAAAGGCTGCAGCCATCGGAAGAACATCTCTCACGAAGCAGTACGGCGAACAGCTTTGGTGAACACAAATTGTTACCAGAGTGGCAGAAAAAGGGGCCGTCGCTCCCTGCCTAGCAGCACCTCGGTGGGTCTGCAGCCCTGCCACAGCCCTGTCTCACGGATGGACTTTGGTCTCACATTGTAGCCTTGTCTCCAGCCCTGTCCCCGGCCCCGTGTCCGTCTGCTCCTGACCGGACCCCGAGATGGCCCCAGCCGAGCTCACCCTGGCGCCGTCTGTGCGTTTGTAACAGCAAGAGGAGCTTGGCCCTTAGAGCGTATTCTCAAAGCACTGAAATAGCTTCATAGTCATAAAACAACCAAAATCAGTGCCAGGGCTGGCGCTGCAGGCTGTCTCAAGTCCCAGCAGCAGCGCGGCAGTCCTTCGTTAGGACATTAGGTGTCGTCACCAATCCAGCTTTTCAGGTCAGAGTCGTGTGACGTTTACTCCTATCCGGCAAGTTGCTATTCTTTTTACAGGCCAGGTTAAATATTAACATAGGACTATGCATATTCGGGGAAGGGGAGAACCTTACCTAATCTTATCAGCGCCGCAATGTCACTTCGAAGCCGTGCTGTGAAGTCAGGGCGAGCGAAACTCGCACGTATATTTTCCTGGAGACGTCCCGACTGAGCAGCAAGGCGAAATCACCGCTCCCGAACGAGCGGGAGGAGTCGCTTGCCGGGGAAAGCAGGTATTTGCTGACGCGAACGCACCTCAGAGCAAACCCTGCGCTTCGGGAGAAGACTCGCTCCAGGTCAAAAGGTAAGGCTAGACCCCAGCGGAGGGGAGTTTAAATTACGTTAAGCGTTGTTAATTTTGCCCGGCGTTCGCGGCGCGAAGAGCGCCAACGGGAGCGCTCCGCGTTCGAAACCGGGGGCGTTTTCGCGGTCAGGGAGAGCCTTTGGGAAAGCGATCCGGGTAACCGCTCCGAAGTAATTACCACGTTTCCTGGCACGAGGAGCTGGAGTATATAGCGTAACTCCTGCCTCCCCAAAGCAGCACCTCCAGCAGCTGAGGGCACTCTTGCCTCCTTGCTCCCCGTGATAAAGAGCGAAGGAGAAGGCTTGGACGGAGGACAAGAGCTCGTGAGTGGAATTTGTGCTGGTAGTGAACGCTCCTGACGCGATTCGCACATTAACCTGCGGAGACGTAGAAAATGATGGAAGAACGTAAAAAGTAGCTCGAGGGAAACCCCAGGTATTTAATTCGTCGTAAAGCACAGCATTCTGTTCCATTTGGGGGTCGGATAATAGTTCTCGGCCCGCTGAAAGTCAGTTTTGAAATGTAAAAAGTAAAGCAAAAAGTTATATATCCTCTCTCTTCCCTTCTCATTTTACTTCACCCCAAATTATTTACTGATTTTGGCCGGAATTTGGGCACAGGCTCCGTCTTACCCACCGCTGCAGATTCAGGCAAGTTTATTCTTCTCCATAAAAATTCCCTCAGCGCAATTTATACTCACGGACCTGGACTGATAAGTGGGATTACAGACCACGGCTGCCAGTTTTGGTGAAGTACTGGCTCAAGGGATCCTCTCTAGACCTGCACGCCTGGGGTTGTACCCTCCTAGGAAAGGGCGGGACACAGACTTTGGATTTGTTTCCTGGTGATTTACTTATGCTGTTTCTGCTAATACGGTAGATAATACTGGCACGTAAATACTAGCAGCTGGTTTGCGTGTGTGCTCGGGCTCACGCGGGGCGAGAGAAAGGAGCAATCCCTTTCAGCTCTGCGCTGCGGCACTCCCCTCTGCAGCTGCCCGTACAAAAGCGCCTTAGCACAAAAAACGTCGACGCGAGGAAAACATGACATCTTTCAAAACGTATCAGGCAAAACTAAATCAACTCAGAAACTTAACCCCCCCCCTCCCAGCCACCCAACCCACACGCGCACACACACACACCCTGGCGCACAGACTCCACTTAAAATGTTGATTAATTACCAGGGCTGCCCTTCAGGTTTCGGAGGTGAACTGAAAGCCTGCAAAAGAGCGCAAAGCAACCGGCCAGCCGGCCATGTAAACAGCTTCCCCGGCTAACTCGGAGAGACGCCCTGTTTCGAACCCTGATTTGCGAGCAGAACTATAGTAGAGCTTGGCACCACAATGAGACGCTTCTGGAAAGGCAACAAAGGCGGTTTTGTTGTTTGGCCTGCTGGGGCCGGCTGCAGCGCGCAGCTCTCCCTGCAGACGGCCGGCGCCGTGCCCTGGGCCTTCCCCTAAGGCACCTCGGCTTACCAAGTGCTACCTACCCTTTCGCTACAAAAAACAGCCTTCCTCCCACCGCTCTCAGAAAAGCGGCGCTGGAAATTAATGCAGGATCGTAGTGCGCAAGGGGGGAAAAGACTGCTTGCTCCAGGCTAGCAAAATAGCTGGGTCAAGGGCTTTTTGTGTTTTGTTCCTTAATGCAGTTTTGGTTTTAGCAAAAGGGAGATTTTAAAAATGTGCTCGTTAGAAGAAACGCAGAATGTCTCTGTGGTGATACTAGTATTTATGCTTTCCACAGAGCTACCGCAAAGGCCACCTCTGAAAACAAAATCACTTCCCCGACAAGAAGGTTGGCCTGGGCAGGAAACGGCATCCTTTGGCCTTTGTACCTTTCGTGAACGCAAACTTTAATTTCCCAGCTGAGAAGTTTGTAAACCAAGCAGCATAGCGAAGCTGCCTCCCACATATTTTGAGGGGGAGGAGAATAATACCACAGAAGCGGATCACGAACGCTGGAAAAACAGAAAATGCAGAAGTAAAGTGATGGCTCCCACCCTATCTCTATCCCTTATCTCCATCCACTTTTGAAAGCTGTTGGTATTTCATTTGGGGGTGTAAAACACTTTCTGGGATGTGAGTCAGGTTCAGAGCAATAGTCCTGGGACCCCTCTGTTGCGCTAGTATCTTTTATCAGTCTGATGGCTCAGGCCAGGAGCATGAGAGGAGGTTCTTCAGAGTGTTCTTCACCCTTGCTCCGAGCGGGGTAGGATGGGGAGCATGGGGTGGCAGGGCCCATCCCTCCTGGCCAGGGCGACCCACAACTCTGGCTGCCTGAGAGGTGCAGCAGCAGCAGCAGCAGCAGTGACGGTAGTGGTCCCTCACGGGGATGAGGAGATGTGGTGCAGGTAAATAATCACTCCCCATTGCAGTCATTACCCCCCTCCCCCGCAACCCACGGCTCAGAAGAGGTCAGGGCTGGTCTCCCTCCCCTTGCAGGGTCTCTTGCACAGGGCTGGGCATCAGCTCACGCTTTACAAATGGAGCAATTAGTCCCCCAGTGGGACTAAAGTCAGCAGTGCCTTGTGCAAGCTGGAGGAAGCCTCCTGGGTTGTACAAACAGGTGTCCTAATTTTGCAATTAAATGCTCAGAAGAAATTGCGAAACTACTCTTTTGGATATAGCGATGCACTGGGATATATTCCCACTTCCTCTCCCTCCTCCATTGTGACCAGAAAGAAAGCTGCCTGGTGTAGGAGACCTCACCTCAGTGCCAGTTTCTGGGAAGCAGTAACAAACCCTCCATAGGGAGATCTGCCGCTCTCCAGCCTCACAGGAGCAGCTCATGCCTGGTGCAGTTGTTTTGCATGACAGTAACTGATGGAGCCCAGGGCTCATTAGTTGGCCAGGACACCACTGGCAGCACAGCAAGCGCCCCCGCACTATGTGTGCAATTGTGGGCAACCAACAGAATTATTTTTCCCAGCTGTTTGTGATTAACTTTAATGATGTAGATGGGTTTCCCCTGACGTAGTTAATCTTGAAGCAGTAGCACTGTAATAGCCAGGATGGACTAAAGACGCAAGAGATGCAAGCTCCGTAGGGGGAGGGTACTTTGCTGAAGAAAGGTCTGTGTACTGAAAGCTCATCCACTTCTTTCAAACAGTTGTTCTGATAAAAGATACTACTTTCCCTCCAAACCCTGCCTCACTTAATCTTCTCCACTTGTTTGTAATACAGGTCACACAAAGTCACATTTTATTATAAAACGCAAAGCAGGAGCTCATTACTGAGCTTCTCAGTAAGTTATGTCCTTCAGCTGCTTCTTAAGTGTGCCATGACTGCTGGTGACTTTCTGTCTTAGGGACCAGGAGAGAATGCTCCCATGGAGAAGTTCCAGAAATTCATTTTACTTCCTTTCATCTTAACTGCCTCGCTAACAGGTAGGACACATTCATAACCCGTGAAATGAGCCACCGTGGACAAAATATGTGAACTGATTTTAAAGGCATGTAAATGGCAGTTACTGGCAATATCATACTGAACAGTAAGTCCCAAAGGGGAATCATTTAAAGTGTTTAAAATGAGTAGGTTTGCATTTCAAGCCTGAATGATCTCACGACTTTTAGTCGGCTGGAGTGAGCAGGGGACGGAGTGGGGAGGAGATGGAGAACCTACCCTCTTACTTCCAATGAGAAGGGATGTCCTGCTTATTTCTCCCTCTGCTTATGCTCATCCTCCTCCCGGCTGCTTTAGGATGGGTCTTGAGGGGGCATCTGCATGAGAGCTCAGTATCAGCAGTTGATTTTGCTTCCAGCAATATCATTTTGCTCATTTGCCTCCAATTTGCATTCCACATGCCTGAATTTCAAAGTGGATTCACATAAAAGACATCTTGGTGGCAGAACTTTAAAGAAAATGTGAATATAAAGTAACCAGTTAGGTTAATGGAGACAGGGTTCATTTGTTTGTTATAGCACAGCTGATTTTTTAACAGGCTTTGAAAGAAAAGAGTGGCAGGGAAGGTACTGTCGTGGCTTAATAACTGGTGAAAACAAACACAATGCAGGGATAAACAGTGAGTTTTCATTGCAGAGTGATATTCCCAGGGGAGCTGTGCACAAATCCGTGGTATTCAATAAACTCTTAAACAGCCCAGGGAAGAGGAGTGAAATATGAGGTGGCAGACTTTGCAGGTGGTAGAGAATTACTCTGGGCAGCCAAATCCAAAAAGAGACTTGAAAATTTGCAAGAAAATGTCATGATGCCGAGTGAGTAAGTAATAAAGGAACGGAACAAATTAAATGCAAAGCATCACTTAACTAAAGATGTCTAGTGGGGAAAAGAATAGACATCTTGGAGACTGTGAACAGCTTGCTGAGAAAGAGAGAAAATTTCACTGCTTAGTGTCTTCGACAAGGGAAATGCAATAAAACCTGGCATTATATAAATCTACAGAAAGCTTGTGTCTTGAATACTGGTTGTTGTGTTAGTTGTTATATGTGTTACTATTTCAAAAAGAACATGTTAGGCCTGAGAAAGGTATAAAGCGTGAAAGGGTAATCAAAATTATGAGGAGAAGCTTCACTAGACAGATTTTTTTCAGCTTGGGAAAGAAAAAGAAATAGTAAAGGTTTATTAAAATAATTAATTATAAGGAGGTAAATGACGGAATGCATGTTGACATATTCTCATAGCAAAAAGAACTTGAGGCAATGAATAAAACGATCAGAAAGAAGGTTTAGGGCAAACCAAAGGATGTACTTTTCCTCTTAGCATATAATTAAATAGTGAAGTTCATGGTCACCTGATATGGGGGATACCAAATTATAAATAGGCTGAAAAGCATATTAGGCAAATTCATGGAGGATAAATGTGGTGTGGATTCAGTGGTGCAGATGCAATCATTGGCTCAGGCAGTCCCTAAACCTCCCATTTTTGGTCACAGGGAAGTTATAACAGGGAAGCCTCAATTTTTACCTGCTCTGCTTCTTGTATTGCCTTCCTAAGCGTCTGCAGCAGGACACTGTGCGCTGGAGGATTTCACTAATGCTTTTAATGAAGGACAACTGCAGTGGGTGTTACATTACCCCACCTTGCCCCTAGGCTATTGCTGGTGGTGATGGCGTGCTCCTGTCCTGGGGAGCCTGACAGCTAAAGACCACTAATGACAAGAGACAGCGTGGAGAAGCAGGAGGTGTCTGGCAGCAGGCCCAAAGGGGCTGCAATAGACAGTTGTTAAATAGTGCATAAGAGAAGAGATGGGAAAAGACATCTAGGGGATGTGGAGAGGAGGTTTGTGTGTGGGTGGGTGGGATCACGAGTTGCGTACCAGTGGATTGGTACTACGTGACAGAAACATCCTATAAGCTTTTTAAAAGGGCTTGTTAACATAAGCAAACAAACCCGTCTTTCTCTGCAGGCTTTGACAACCCAGCTAAAACCTATTTTGGTTTTCAAAAAGCTTAGCTTCAGGGCTGTTGGTTTTTGAAAAAAAACTTGTGACGTGCTGAAGAAAAATCTTGCTAAATCTGAAACAATTTATTGCAGAGTCCTTGCTGAAGCAGTGGGAGAAGAAGTGGGAAAGCGATGAGGCAAGGAAGGCATAAAACCACGGGGTGGCAGGGGGAGGGTGAAGTAGAGACTGAATAAAAAGTAAAAAGAAAAAAATAATTAAAGCAGACTGGAAGGAAAAAATGTAGGAAACTAAACAGAAATGGCAGAGAAGGAAGGGAGGGAGACAGAGCCTAGACACAAAAGGTGAAGGATAAAATAAAAAGGCAGGCTTTATGGAAGGGAGATAAGAATATCGAGGAGGAGAGCATTTTGAAATACTATGATGAGGCTGAACAGGTATCATTAGGACAAAAGGATAAGCCCGTCCTGTTCTTCACTGTGCTTCATCCAAATTAGTCACATAGAAAAGTAGGAAAGACGGAGTCAGCTGAGGAGGGCAGGGAAGGAGAAGGTAGCTGTGTCTCAGTGCCCTTTCTGCTGAAACCTTCAGTGTGAAAAAGTGGTCCCTTAGTGACAGTTAGTTCAGATAGGGAGGGAAAAATGCTGGTGATGAAGCGTGGTTCTTTGGCAAATAAGGTTCCCTCAGCGCAGGCGTCACCCACCGGAGTCCTGAAAACAATACATAAGATGTACTTTTGTTTCTTCAAAACCCACTGTGATGGCCATGACAGTGAGCTTGGGTGACAAACGAGGGAATAAACAGCTCATAAAGGAGCTGATGTATTTTTGGATGCTGTTAAGAAAGACTGAAAACTGAAACGCCATAAACACCTTTCAGTTAAAGTAAACTTTTGCCAATAGTTATTCCTTTGTAAACATTTAGTGGCATGCCACAGGAAAGGTGTCCTGACTCAGCTTTGTTCTTCAAAAGTAAGGATATAATGCAGGATCATGTAGACAGCTAAAGTTTCCCTTACTGCAAAAGCATCAGTGAGGATATTGGTCTGGACAGGATTTCTTATTGGTTGTGTGTGTGGAAGCAGATGTTAAACCAGCTGTTAAGAGCTGAACACATCATTTCTGCAAAGTACAATGAAAATCTAGCCTGAGGCCTCAATTTGTCTAAAAGCAACTAGTTGCAAGATATTTTTCAAGCAGCATGTAAATGTAATTAGCACTGAAATTTACTCCTTTGCATGAGAAAGAAGGCCCAGCAGAAAGGAATTACAGCACTAGGTGAAAGCAGCTGGCCTAAGGTCCCCGTTCTGTCATGCATGTCCTCTTTGACCTTACACGAATTACTTTATCGGTGTTTGTACCGGCGTTGGACAATGGGACCACTGTTGGTTTGGGACTCCACGTGCTATTGCAAGATAAAAAATAAAAGCGAAAAGATAAAGCGGCAAGGTTACAACCACTGGAAATGTCTTAGCAGGAGGAGGAGGAGAAGGCTCATGAAGTGAGGCAACTCCAAACAAGCAGAAGGGAATGCCAAATGTACCACTCTGTGCCAGGGTGTGCCAGCAAGGCAGCAGGTGGTCAGAGCGATGAGAAAGCCAGGGTACTTAGAGCATTTTTTTTCTCAGAATTTTCTGCCTAAGGAGGTCAGCTTTCATTTACAGCAGAGACAACACAGGAGCTCTGCAAATAGAGGCTGCAGAGCCTAGCACAGTATTTCCTCATCCCTTTCCAGATCTTCGCTCCTTTTTCGGCTGTGCTGCGGTTTTGCAGAGGTCCAAAGGGAAGCCAGGTTGAGCTGCTTCCTGCTCCTCAATCCTCCTGCCCTATAGGATCCTTCCAAGACTCATGGGCCTCTTCTGTAGCTCACAGAAGTCAGTGGAAGGTTGTCTATTGCTCCCAGCAGATGTAGCTGGTGGAAGAAAACGTAGAGCCTGCCATACCTGTGCACTGTTAAAAATCACTATGTTAGGTAAATGAAGGAATAATTCATACCTACTTGCCTGCATTGTCTTGACGGACTGAACGAGACAAAAACAATATTAGCCATCTATTTTTAGGATTGATGATCAACGATTATTCATGTTTAGGGATAAATTTGAAGACCATAATGGAACTCTCAGACATGATCTCATAGCAAATGATAGATTAACAACAGGCAGTGTACTGAAAGTCACATCATTTATTCAGAGCCATAGCAAGCCATTAGTGTCCTTAAGAAAATAGAGTGTTTACACAAGCTAAGAAATAAAATACAAATGCACAGGGATCAGTTTTCATTAATAGGAACAGTGTGGCTAAATACTGCTGTGCTCTGCTATGCAGTTCTTGGTTCATGGGCAGCTAAATATATTTTAGTGTTAATTCTAAGAAGGGTTGTGTATGGCTCTGTCTCTCATCACGATAGCTGTTCGTGTCAGCTTCAAAAAGTCAGGAAGAATTCAAACAAGGTGTGAAAACCAAAGAATTCAGTACATTAACACGTTACAGGCCCTATGGGACATACAGGGAGTAGTATTGCAAAGGCTGTTTACAATTGCAGTCAAGAAAAAATAGATAATTCAAAGACTCATTCGAGCTTAGGACAATGTCTCAACCGCAGTAATATCAGTTAGGAATAGAAATCATGATTGTTTGATCTTGAACACCAGGAAAAGGATCATACTAAGTGAGGAATGGTCTCATTGGAATGCACCCCGTCAATGCAGTCTCAGTGTAATTCTCAATACGATGAGAATTAGAAAATTCATAGTTGTGGAAATGATGCCATCCACAGACACGTGGGGAATCCCTGTCATTCAGAAAGTGACAAATAGAAAAGAGAGGAGGAATTGGGTTTTGGCTGTTTTGCTGGATTAACTGTTTATAAAGCAAGGCATTAAGCTATGTATATAGATTTGATCACTGAGGTAATCTTCAAGCTGTTGCATGTTTTAAAGCATAACAGTTCACCTTTACAAGCCTCAAGAGAGCTTTGAATAACTTAATGGAAAAAATGAGCCATTGAAGTTGAACTGAAATATGCTTTATCTTGTATTATCTGGCTTTATTAATTATCAGTAGAAGCAGAGTGTGCTTTTGATTTAATGTTTTATTGCTCACACTCAGATAAGCTTAGTAGAATGCTGTGCATGGTAAAGGTAACATAAGCCAGGATAGTGGAAAACATTTTTTTAAAGCGTTTTGTAAACGTAGGAGAACTCAGAGTCAATCATACAAAGACATAAGGAGGGCTAGGCTGGTAAAACCCAGCAAAACAAAGAATGAGAAGATTCTCATCTGTAAATGCATGCAGAGGGTGGGAGGAAAGAGGGGAACTATTTATATTACAGAACAATTCTTGGCACAAACCTGAGGAGATATAAACTGCCTAGGATTAAATGCGAGCTGGAAATTAGAAAATGATGTTGACCTCAGAGCAATGAGATTATGGACCATATGCCTTGGGTGTGTGTATGAAGGTTCTGGCTGCAGTACTGTAACTGAAATTAGGCTCTGGTTGCATTTATACAAGTATTAAACATCTCTTTTGTGTGAAACAATGCAACGTATCTTCCCCTGCTCATGCCAGCTAGTGACTGAATGAAATATGAATTTTGCAGTAAGTTGTAAATTAATATATTAATGAATAAACTACCCAAAATGAACAAAACCTGGGTCCTTTAAAAAGCACTTCATTGTTCTGAATAGTCTTAGCAAGGGAATAACAGCCATTTTAGACTTTCTTTCTCCTGGAAAATAATTGAACTCTTATGCTCAGGCTAAATTTGCAGACACAGGGTTTTAATTACACTACCATGGACTGCAGGATGCAATTGCTGTAATTATGCAGGCTATAGCCTGAATCATCAGGGTAACGCTAACAGTCCCTGTGCTCCTCTGGATGAACGTTTCCCAGTAAGCAAAGAAAGACTTACTGATGAGGTAGACCTCTCTAGCAGGACCGGTTGGTCACAGAGAGCTTGTGAAATCTCCATCCTTGGAGATATTCACAATTTGGCATGATGAGGCCCTGTGCAAGTGATCTAACTTTGAAGTTAGCTCTAGTTACTGCCTGGACCAGGGTGTTGGGCTAGAGACCTCCAGAGGTCCCTTCCCACCAAATTCTTTCTGTGCTCCTGTCAAAGTGTAACCACGTCACAGCAAGGTGCAGGGGTTGCTGTGCCTGCCTGTGGTGTGCCAGCTTGGTTACCCTTGCCCTGACCCTGCACAAGGCTGAGAGGGAGCAGACCTGAGCTGAGAGGCAGTTGAAGGGGCAGCAGCAGCCCCAGAGTGGGAGGGCAAAAGAGCATCAGCCGGTGAGATGCGGAGCATCAGCCATTTTCTGAGCTGAGCCTCAGCAACAGTGTCCTTTGCTCTCTGCTGCACCTGCAACTGGCAGGGTTGCGGGTTGCAGCACCTTAGTGAGAACGACCAGCTTACAATAACTTACCATTATGTGAAATACCATAATATGTGAAAGACATCAATAAACTGAATCGAGGACAGTGAAGGGCCACCAAAATGGTCAGGGTCTGGAGCACTTGCCCACTGAGGAGAGGCTGAAGAACCAGGGCTTGTTCAGCCTGGAGAAGAGATAGCTATGGGGGGACGTAAGAGCAGCCTGCCGGGACCTGCAAGGAGGTTATCGGGAAGATGGAGCCAGGCTCTTCACAGCAGTGCATGGCAGGAGGACAAGAGACAATGGGCATAAGTTAAAACAGAAGACATTCAAACTCTGTATGAAGAAAATCTTATTCAACATGATGATAATAAGGCAGTTGCTCAGAGAGGTTATGCAGTCTGCATCCTTGGAGGTTTTCAAGGACCTGGTCTGACTCAGGGCTGACTCTGCTCTGAGCAGGGGATTGAACTGAAGACCTCCTGAGGTCTCTTCCAACCTGAATTATCCTGTGATTCTATGATCATTTAGTAACTACTCCTCCTTGAAAACTATTGATAGTACCTCTGCCTTTGCTCTACTGCACATGGATGTAGCGTGTTTAGGGGAACTGAGCCAAAATCCACAGGAAGGTCACAAAGTACAAAGACCCAGGGAAGCAGGTGACTAATTTCACACAGTGCTGCTCTCAAGCACTATTTCTAAGACACCAAACCAGTAACCTGGATCATTCTTCATGTTTGAAGGTTTCTCCCTCAGGGAAGACGAGGGTATATGAAGTCCTCTTTCTGAGAAATGCTTTAAGAGTTACCCGCTTTCAAAATGGCACCTATTTCCCTTGGCCATGTTGAAAAGATGGTCTCTGCCTTTGTCTTTTGCTTTGTGCTCATCGGAAGTGAGTGCTTCTGCATCCTCATGTGCAGGGGACCACCCTCCGCCCAGGCAATGGCTGTGCTTTCCTTCCACTGAGGGCAACGGGAGGCCCTGGGTATGCTGAGGAGGAAAAGAAAAGAAAAAGCCCTCATTAGAGCTGAGCTCTGAGTTCTGAAAAATAATAGCCAAATGAACAGTATCTTTAAGGAGAAAAACTCATGAATTACAGCAGAGCTGGTTAATAGAAAGCCTGAGAAGGTGGAGGAGAATGCATTTTGAATCATGCATAAGAAAAGCAAGGAGGAGGGGAAAGCGTATGGAAGGGGGTAGAAAAGAATCACTGGCAATCTGGGGTATGGGCAAGGGAAACATAGTTAAGGGACCTGCTATGTACTCTGCTATGTGCTTCAAGTCTAGAGAACTCACATATTTTTCCTTTTTAAGGGTGAAAGCATTTTCCTTCAGCAGTAATGATAAGTCTGGCTTTCAGTGACTCCCTGAAAACAGAAATTTAAGTGATTTGGGACTGGGAGGCAGGGAGACAAAAAATCTAGTGCTTTAAAAAAAAATCTCTCCTGGAGATTACCTGAAAGATTAGATTGTTTCTACATTTCCATCTCTAAATAAGTTAAGATATTTTAATCTATAGAAGTCTATATTTCTTGGGTTGAGAAAGATTGACTTGGGGATCCATTATAGCAAGCCTATGTAGCATTTGCCCACAGCTTACTGCTGTGTGCTTAACAATGCTCAGCTGAGGTTTCATTTTACCATAGATAATTTTTAACTATTTACTGTGATGCGTTCCTGAAAATGAGGTATGAATCTTCTGAAAGGACCAGGTACTGAAGGAAAAGTCAGAAGGAAAGTGCCAGCACAGTTGAATCAACAGCCTTTCCTGGTATGTAACTAAGTGCTTAATACCCCACTGTTCCCAGGGAATAATGTCGTTTGAACCAGATGTCCTTGCTTTTTATCCCCTTACATTGCTGACCATAAAAATTCAGCCAAAGGCCTTAGCTGATTTTGGTGTTTATGTAATTACAGATTGCGTGTTTTTTTCTTCTTTCCAGGTCTTGGCTTTTGTTCTTCTATTATAACTGGCCCTACTAATGCGACAGTCCTTGTTGGTTCAGAAGCCCGATTTAATTGTACCGTGTCGTTAAGATGGGTAATTCTCATGGCTGTCAAAGGGAAGTCCTGTCCTCACTGTGGTTAATCCTCAAGGAGCTATTGTAACATCAGACCGCTTCACCTCTCAAAATTATACCAGCAGTACTGGGTTTACCTCAGAGCTGATCATTCACGACACGCAGCTGAGTGACTCTGGTACAATAGTGTGCAGCACCCAGCAGCCTAATGAGAGCACCTTTGCGTTTCTTTCTGTTCAAGGTGCGTATGGCCGCCAATGGAAAGCTATTTTATTATAGTGTGCTTAGAGAAATCCTGTGATGGACTGCCCAAATTATCTCTTTGAAGGAATACATGCTCCTATGTAACATTCTTTGTCTCCTGTCCTCCTTGTCTTAATTTTACTGTCACAGCAGGTTTCAGAGTCACCTTCGGAGTGCCATTGAAAGAGGATTGAGCTGCCCTTGTTTTTTCCCATTGCCTCTCCTTATTCTTTATTGGATTTTGCCTGAAGGGTGTATCAGGCCCACAGGCAGTCAGACAAAAATGATCTTTTGGGTAGGGACAGTGCAAACTACCCCATATGAACATCTCTGTGCATCAATATTCTGCTCCTTTTTAGTGCAGATCTCTCTTCTGCTTTGTGATTTAGGACGCAGTCCTAAAGCCAGCTTATTTGAGTTTGATTTAATGGAGTGTAGAAGTAAAGCCCATGAGATGCAAGGTGATACTCTTCATATGATTGCTGCTGTAAGCTGCCTTTTCCAAGGGACAAAAAGCTCCTGTGCATGAAGCCCCTGTGTATGAGACCTCTTCCTCCTCAAGCATCATTAGTGCCACAGTGCAGCCAGTAAAGCAGAATCTAACCAAGAGACACTATCCATTTGTCAAAGAGATACTTCACACAACAAGAACCCCTAATCATCTACCTGTAAACTTTTCCTGATAAACCCCAAGAGCATGCTTAAAATTTAGAGAGAAACATGGTTATTACATTATGTTGTCCTTCAGCTGGAAATATATCAGTACAGCTAAAAACTATAATTTACTGCTTTTTATTGAAAAGGCACTGCAGGCTGAGTCTAGTGTTTTAGAGGTATGGAGCAATAATGTGTCCTTGAAGCTGCAATATCTGCGTTTTTATATCATGCATATGGTACGTCAGTGGTAATAACAGTTGTTTTGAAATTTGTATCTCAAGGCATGTCTAATTTTGGGTATCACGGTAAGATTTGAAATTATCAGTTGGAAAGCAATGCATCCAAATATTCTGAAGGAACAAAATATCTTTTCCGTTCTACAGTTAATGGATCTTTAGTCATCAAAAATAGCACCTTTACAGTAAAAGAGAACAAAACAGTTGAAATTGTTTGTGAAGCCTTAGGATGGGCTCCAGCTCCAGACATTACCTGGATGACAAACGACTCTTTCATAGATAAGTCGAGGTATGTTACCAAGCAAAGTCAAGGATCTAATGGCCTTCACAATGCCATGAGCATCTTAACTTTGACTCCGACGGACACTGAGATTTTGACTTGTTTAGCTGATATAGAAGCACTCCCTAGCCCTCAGAATGCAACTGTAACTGTTTTTTTTCTCAACTCTACTCTAGGTAAGTGGATGTTTGTTGTACTTTGCCTATGCTATTTTCTCAGAACTATGCTTTTTTGTTTTGTCTGGAAAAATCTTTTATTTGCAAACCAAATACTATGACGTGTGCAGAGGTGATATAATTAAGACTTGGTTGTCACAACTTCATGCAGCGCTATGGTTATAGTCGCTTCTGTAAGAGGACTGATACAAGTCATGTGAAACAGAAAGTCCTACCTAGGACCAGTGTGAACAAAATGAATGAAGCAGCAGATCTGCCACTGATTCCTACTGTGGATTCATTGCTAACCATACTGGCCTTGGCTCCTTCTACAAGAAATCATCTAATGAATTTAGATGTGAAACATCTTTGATTATGTCATGTCCCATGTATGAAAATAAAATTCTATACCTCATTTGCTCAAGGCCAAACCCCCAGGTGAAACTGTGTTCTATTATATTCGATACTAGCTTTACCACTGACTTCAAAAAACCTTGGATTTCACTCCCAGTTTCTGCACACAACCCAAAATAGATTCTGCACTAGCTCTCCAAATGCAAGTAGAAAGTTCTCTGTATAAACACTGAACAGATGTGGTGGAGCTGTCGTAGTCTGCTGGTAACAATCCAAAGCTGCACTGAGCTTGACACCTAAGTGGGACTAGGTAGTATTCTAGTCATATGCTGTATCCCAAGGTCTATGTAGATCCAAGAGCCATTTGACCTGCTCTCTTCTTCCTGGTGTGGTCTCTTTCACCTACTGGAGGAATATGGATATACTCATTAACATATGTGGAATTCTATAACATATGTATTAGATTGCCTTTTGTTTCCTTATATTTAAGGAGATTTAAGGTGGCTTTAATCCAAGCATAACTGTCAAATAAGTCTTTCAAGAACTATGAGCAAGACCCTTGGTAACCTTTAACAGTTTTGCTAATGCTATCAGCAATTTTTTGTAATGCTGCTAATCTTTGGCCTCACTGACATCGTACAGCAATAAACTCCACAGATTAACGCATTCACAGCGTTAGGACACTCATGAGGCAAAGCACGACTTTTCTCTGCTTTATGCTGTCGGTGTGGAACAAAGCAAGTGAGACTATGAATAAATATCTACCTCATTATCTAACAGAATCCTGTGAAAAGTGCTTTTCTTTTCCAAACCATAATATGATAAGAACAAGTAAGAACAGGAGAAGTGCTCTCCCTGTGGGTTAGCAGTGCTTAATGCAGATGGGGAGATGATAATCACCTTGTCCTTTGCAGCTCTTCTCTGGTGAGGCTGGCCAAGAGCCTCAAACGTAAGGCAGAGGAGTCTCAGGGCAACCTGAACTTGCACCAGTAATCACATGGTTGGGAGGCTGTCCCAGGAGCTGAGGTTGCTGGTTATGGGTACACTACCAGCTGTGGTGGCACCCTATAATGGCATCCTTCTTATTAGCCATACCCTGTGGTATAGAAAATGCATAAGTTATATGGAGGTTTTTACAGTGGCCCACCAGGTATTTTCTGTACAGAGTAGAGCCTTAAATCTACACTTCTTTTTCTGAAGTGGTGAGCATTGTGAACTTCAATAATCATGCTGACAGCTTCTCTTGATGAACTGATACTTGTTCTGTAACGGACGAATACACCATGTATGAAGACATTCTTATAGTAGATTGATGACTGGTATGGTATAGAAGTTTCTACATATAAGCAACCGAAGAGGTTGAGTAACTGTGCCTTTTATTTTACGTATGAGTCATTATTAGCAAGTCCTTTCAGAAGTACTCACTTTGTAATGCAATTGAAAAAGGTCATTTCATCATTTTTAATAATTCTTTGTAGTCAGATTGCTCCTAATTACTGACTAAGCAAAATAGAGCTATCCTGAGGAAATTAATAAATTCCCCTGCCTACTCATTTGTGAACTACAGAGGGATCCACCCTCAGTTTCCATAGCTACTCACTGTAAATCAGAAGAGGAGAAAAACAGATGTCATGAAGCACAATTAGTGTATAATTAGTGATTGTATAGGACCATCATTCATTTCTCTTTGGAAAAATCATTGTGCAGCAGCAGACACTGAAATTTGTCAGGATATGAGAAAATGAAATCTCTAAATTATGAGAATGAAATAAAGATGTGACATTTGCAACGGAGGAATATATCTAATATATATCGTACTTTAAATCTCAGAACTACTCTGATTTTTCATATACAGACTCCCCCTTAGCTAGATGTTGTCAGGAATGAAGAAGGCTAGCTTCAAACATCTAAGGAGTCTTTCCCGAAACTATAGTAATATCGATTTCAGCCCTCGCTTAAAAGCTTGAGCAATCTAATTCACTTCTCCACAAGCCTCACGAGCAGTACTTGTCTATTCACAAGCATTATAACCAAAAAACTTCTGAGCCTTCTTCCACAGTCACTAACTGATAAACCAACATCGCCTGGCAGGTGAATGCCTTCCTGCATGTCTGGATCAGTCTTAATCTCGGGCCTCTTCTTACAGTTAACAAGATGATGCATTTTCGTGTTGGTCACTCCTCTCTCCAGAGGTGTCTTATTTGCAATTCAGTTTGACTGAGCCCCAAATTTGGGAACTCCTATAGAGTTATCGCAGCAGAAGCAGTCACAGAGCTGTTATTGGGACATGGGATCCTTGGCAGAGTCCCTTAGTTGGGCTTAAGCTTTTTACGGCTTCAGTGTTGGCTTTATGTGGCCTTTGCACTGCAGGAGGGGAAGACTAGGGAATCAGCCAGAACCTTGATCTTCCTTTGCTTTTATCCTAGCTACAAAGCTCCAAAGTGTCCAAGAAGCAGGGTGCAGCTTTGTCTTAGTCTCTCATTTCTCCTTGGTCACCAGCATGTCTCAGGGAAAATTCCCTTTTCCAGAGATGCTTTGCTCAGGTAAATTCTTAGCAGCTTTAGGAGAAGCTAGATGTTAGGATAGCAGCAGAGAATGGGCCATATAGTATGAGAAGGTGGTTTCATCCATGTTTAGTACCTGATGTAACTTGATGTGGATTTACAAGTGGGGCTAAAAGGGTTTAATCTCTTCATCCCTCAGAGCCCCTCTCTTGTGCCCCTAACTTACATGTTGAGCTGGCGGCCCATGCGTTCATACCTGCTGGTCACATCCCCAGTTTCTTTCTGGATCTCTCAGAGTTGGGGAAAAACTACCATGCAGAACAGCCTGGGAGTATTTGTGTTGTATCCTGTCCCTCTTGCTTGTGCTCTGTAGAGCATCTTTTGGCAGGTAACCTGAGCCTGAGGGGGAGCAAAATACCTTAGTCTGGCAGCCAGCCTGACTAGTATGGTCCAGTGCTGAAAGAGCATTTGGCTTCCTCCTTCACGCTGGGGCTAAACTACCCCTTATAGCTAAGAGAGCTGTATCTTTCATATTTTAACTATCTTGAAATCCCTATGACATGCTTTATACAACAACATATAATAAATCATAGGTACTTGTTGCAGTACTTCTGGATGAAAATGTTATGAACAAGCTTATAATCAGTTGTAGTCGCAACTGATTATAGCCTACGGAATTAACTACTAGTCTGCAGGTTACCGAGTGCTTGTTTTTCCAAATTGTCACAAGAAGTTTAAAGCATGCTGTTTGTGTATTAGGATTAGAGAAAAGACTGGAATGAATTGCTTAATCATAACAACCTGAGCTTTGGAGAATTCAGAATCTCGACATGAGTCTGAGCTCGCTGGAGGCTGCAGTCCTGTGTCTCTGCAGTCCAAAGCCTCCAAACCCCAGGCATATGTAACTGGGCAAATTTGTAGATAGAATGGATTTACTTTTCTATCCCCTGCTTTTAGCGGAGCAGCAAATACTCTGGGTCACACATCAGGGGAATAGCTGTGACACTGTGCAGCTACCAGCTGTCAGGTAAATGTTGCCATGCAGTTTTTAATTGAGACCCCTAGCGAGGACGTGACATGCATAAACCCAGCATGCCAGAATGGGTATTGTCAAGTTTGTGTGTCTCACACCTGTAGTTCAGACTGGAAGTTTGTTTCTAAACAACTGCCAAGGTGATATTTGGGTGGCTTTTCAAAGGGTGATCAAGTTAGAAGCGCTCCTGAGATATCTGGTCAAAACCAATGGGCAGTGTGATGTGACAGTCAGAATTGTCATTTTCCTTTTGCCTCCAGTTGGGTAAGGAATATAAAATATTTTTAAAATTCTTTGCATGTGGCAGCTCTGTTAGCAAAACCATTTGATCGTAGCAACCAGTTTCAGCAAGACATTGAATTATCTTTAAATCACCTCATTTAACACTGCAGATTACAGCAAAGACAAAGGAATATTTTAATGTTGTAAAAACACCAGTAGCGAAGAGGGCTTCACTACTTGTAGTGAGTAGCTGCAAACCCCAAAACAGTGCTACTCTTTACAATTTTTGCTCTTCACTGCTCTTTACAGTGGATAGCAGATGACCTACAAAGTATGTTGCAAAATCAAACACCTACTGAAATCAGTGGGAGAAATCTCAGTATGGGATTCATCAGAAGATCCTATCTACTGGATAGAGATCTCCATCTATCCTAGTCACTTAAGGCTATCATTGTGGCCAGTGGGGACCAATGGACACTTCTTGAGAGCTGTTCACCTTATCCAAAGGGAGACATACACGTCTGGCTAGAGGAATTGTAATTCAGAACACCTATTTTCTCTCCATGGACTAGAGCAACTAGGCAAGATGCTTAATACAGTATAGAAATAGTACAGCATAGTAATACAGTATAGAAATCGAAATTGAATCTTAACCCCTCTCCCCAACCCCAAAGGTCTCTAAAGGATGCTGGGAGACTCAGAATACCTGCAAATAAAGTTTAGGTAGGAAGATTACAACTCCGAATTTTTCAGAAAGAGAAGTAACTATGAGGAAAGTTGCAACTGCAATAAGCATTAGCATTTGGAAACATTTTAAATTCTTGGGCATCATCCATGTATACAGAATCCTGTCATTCAGAAAACACTGCCTCCTTGTTAAATAATAGCAAGCAGCTAAAACCTTCTTACAGAAAAAGTAAATGTTCTGAAAAAAGATGTTTCCAGGCTCTGATAGTACAATATTTCTCCATTTAATTTAACAGAAAGTGAGCACAGCGAAGACAACACAAGCACATGGGTTATTGTACTTGCAGTCGTATTGTCACTTGTTGGTTTTATTCTTCTGATCTTTATTATTGGGGTTGTCATACGCTGTTTCTGCCAAAAGAAGAAAGGTAAGTGGATATTCACAGCTGCTCTGTGCATTAAAAAAAAATCTTAACTTAGAGATAAATCTACTATTAAATCAGTTCTGGTGTGGTGCAAAGACCTGTAAGTGAAAGTGTGAGAAGAGAGATCATGCTCTTGACCAGTGACCTGCAGATGCTCCTTGCTTTCACCTTGTTGTTTTTCATATAACTTGCTTTCAAAGTAATCAGTGGCCCACTAGCTTTGCCATGCATATCAATTACAAGGGGGTAGTATTTTCAGAAGTACGTTAACTTGCAGTGACATTTAGTTACTATGCTGAGGATCTGTGCTGAGGCATACCTTCAGCACTGTATTTGTCAGATACTTTCCTCATTTCCAGTTTCTGCGTAAACTCTTCTAAAGGGATATTGCACAATTTTGTAAACAGGGAGGAGAGATGCTCCTGTGGTAACCAGAGCACAATGCATGCTCTAAGAGGAGCTAGTAGGGCATATTTAATCGTCCTGTATTTTCAACAGATTCATTTTTTTCTTTCAGGCTCCACATATCAAAATGAGATAAGGTAAGCTGAATAAGGTGGGAATTTTTTTTTTTCTTTTACCTAGATTCTTTCAGGCTGCCGCAGGATGGTGAAAGGGATGTGCCAGCTTCCACGCCCCACCGCCCCGCATTCGCTGACCTTCGGGTCAGCCTTGCTTGCGCCTTGGCACATTTTGGCATGCACAGCCTAGGAGCTGGCGGCCTGTGTGCAGGGGTAGGGGACAGACCCGAGGGGCAAAGAGCAAGAGCCACTGCCCGCAGCAGGTTGCAACTTCTGTTCCCACGATAACCTGGGGGAAAAGATGCAAAATCCCGGCACGCCTGATTCTGCAAGCAAGCACCCTCCCCTCCCCCGCCCTCCC